CGCCCTGCAGCGCCGTGTGCAGAAACAGGAGGCCGAGAACAGGCAGCTGGCAGATGCCGTCGTGGCCGGGCGCAGGCAGGTGGAGGAGCTGCAGCTGCAGGGCCAGGCCCGGCAGCAGGCCTGGCAGGTGAGTGTCCCGGCCCTGCCCTCAGGCACGTGCTCCCCTGCTGCAGCCGAGGAGAAAACGGGCCCAGGGAGGGCAACTGACTTGCCCAGGGATGGCTCCTCCATGTCAGGATCAGGGTTAATCCTCTGTAGCCATGGTGGTTCTACTCCATGTGATCACTGCCCAGTACTTTTAAAATGTGTACAGAGAATGACTTCTAGAGCCGTCAACATACCTAAGATATATCCTCCATGCAACAAATACGTGTCCTTTGAGGGTGAACTCAATTTCTGAAAGTGGCCCACAGTCACTTGGGGCCAAGTTGTTGAATAAGGGGGAAGAGAGTAATCAGGCTGGGTGACGCAGATAGCACGTGTGGCTACAGAGTGATGAGATGGACTTTCTCGCCGGCTCAAAATGTAGTTCCAAAAGAGGGTTTCTAGTGGGGCTGGAATGGTGGCCCATTATTGGGTTCTCCTCATCATTTAGATGTCCAACTTATGTTTACCTGTGGCCACTCGACAGCTCCCTTCCTGGGGCAGACCCTCCTATTCCCAAGGGGGATAAGTCCCCAGATCCATGGCTCTCAGGTCCCCTGGTCTTCTTCCCAAGACCAGTCAGGGGCAATCTGAAGGCCCTGCCCCAGCCTCAGCAAGGCCCCAAGCCTCAGGGAGGCGGCAGCAGGAGAAAGGCTGGTGCCTTGCTCTGCTTCCTCTTATCTTCACCCCCTCAGCCTCCTCCTGTAACACACTGGCCCTGGGGGTGTGTAGTGTAGTGTAGTGTAGTGCAGTGGCCCAGGCTCTACACAGCAGACACCCAGGTGGTATAACCGAGGCCTCAGCCTAGTGCCGTCTCCTGGGACAGGTTCCACAGTTGAGAGTTGTGTCTCGGGTACTCTCGGGGCTGCCTTGCTGAGTCCTCCGGCTGCTCTGCCATTGGCGCTTCATCACCATGAGGCCAAGGGTCACTCCCCTGTCTAGGCTTTGGCTTCCAAATTGGCCAAGTAGTGATCCCCAACGCCCTGCCAGCTCTGACATTCAGTGCTTCTATTTTAAGAGGAAGAAGGAAGCCCCCTGCTCTTATAGCCACACCTCTCCCATTACAGCTACAGATGCTAACCATTGTTTGAAGTGGGTCAGCTGGATTGAGTGTTGAGTGCTGAGCCCTGTGTGGGCTCAAAGAGCCCTTTTTCACTACAATTCCCATGTCTGTAGCCCAGCTGCAAGTCCACTTAATTTAAGAAAGTTTCTCTGCTAGAAATCTCCAGTGAGGTCAGAGGATCGGGGGACACTTAAGGGGCCCTTTTTGAAAATCGGCTCTTCTCTGGGGAGGCCCAGCCTAGGTGGCCATGGCACCCAGCCTGCCATAAACAACTGCTGAGTGGGGCGGATTTCCTAATATGCCCTGCTGGGCCTGTGATACGAGTTTCAGACCCCTTCCTTATCATCCTGGGGGAAACCCAGGCCTGGAGTCAAGGACAGTGGAGGGAAAGCATTTGGATTTTCTCATCTCCCAGTCTGTCTGTTCTCTCTCATTGGTGTCAGGCTCTACACAGAGAACAGAAGGAGCTGGTGGCCGTGCTGAGGGAGCCTGAGTGAGGAGGAGAGGGCCCGGCCCAGGAGCAGAGGGCAGTCAAAGTCAAGGGCCTGTGGTCCAGGATGCTGAGCCTGAGTGAGCTGCCTCCGAGAACAGTCCCTAAGCAGTGATGAAATTTGCCGGAGAAGGAGGCCTCAGCTGTCTCCACTGCCGTTGTGCCTCTGGGGCTCCTTTGGGGTCAAACACACACACTACCTTCAGATTCCTCCCTGTTTTCTTCTAACTTTAGGATTCTTAGCCAGCTCCCGCCCTGGGAATTAGGCACCATGCTGCCTCTCCTTTAGGTTCAGGCCAACCCCTCACCCTACCCCCATCATACATATTGCCTATTCCTGAGCCCTCCCTAGGACCTGGCTTGGGGAATCTGTATTCAGTTTCCACTGATTGCCCCCTTGCTGGCCAGCCCAAGGGCCCCTGCCATGTTCTCCCCACATCCGCAAATAAACTTCCTTCACTACACTGTAATCTGTGAGGATGCTCCCTCTGCCTGGGCCTCTCCCAGGACTCTCCTAGGCCAAGATCCCACCCTGGACTCCAGAGTCCTGGCTCCAATCGAGGCCCCAGTTGCAGGGCTCTGAGAGCCTCCAGGCTGGGGAGGGTTGGTGGGGGGTGTATCTGACCATCTGTATGGAAGGGCAGTGAAGCCCCTTGTCACAGAAACCAGGAGCCTTGGGTTCCCTGAGGCCAGGACAAGCTGCCGGGGGGGTGTCACTGTCCATGCGCCTGCCCTTCTCTTTGCCTTGGGTTGATTCTGAGAGGCTCTATGGTGGGCCTCCCTAGGTGTTTGTTTGCGCCTGGTGAGTGCTCGAACATGGAGCAAGTGGGCCCTCCAAATGGCTGGGGCTTTGTCCTCTGGCTTCTCACAACCCCCTCTTCCCCAGCCAGGGCCACAGGGCATCAGGAGTGACTTAGCCAAAGGCAGGGTGGGTGTTTCCTCCAGACTGGAGGGTGAAAGGAGTGGGTGTGGGTGGGGGCAGAACTTTCTTCCCTGGCGAGGGCTTCACCCTAACTCTGTAGAGAGAGGCCTGGTTGGGTCTGTCTAGGAGCAGCGGGGACACTCGGGAAGATGGCAGGGTGGTCCCTGATCATCAACCCCACCCCCCCCAAGTTGAGCCTAGTGGCTCCTCTCTCCTCCTGGACACGCCTAAACATCCAGCCACCGGCCGTGGGGTGGAGGCAGCAGTGCTTCGTCTGGCAGGTCTCCACCTGGTGAGTGGGTGGTGGGGGAGGACACCCTCCCTCTTCTCCAGGCTGAGCTGAGGCAGAAGTGGCTTTCAGGTCTGGGGTGGCACTTTTCAGGCTGGATGTTCTGCCCCTCGGAGGACAGGTCCCCAGGGTTGTTGGCAGTGGGGAGGCTGTGAGGGCAGGAAAAGGATCGGGGTGGGGCGGTCAGGAGCTCAGAGGTGCGAGGGGCATGGGGAAGGGGGTTCCCACCTCAGTGCCCACCTGGCCAGTCGCAGACAGAAGGGCTGTCCTTACCTCACACCTGGCCACACCTGTGTTGGCTTTTGGCTCTTGGCCCTATGCTGCCCCAACCCCTTCCCCCGTCCCAAGGCTCAGGGCCTGAGCAGAGTCGAGCCGCCCCCATGCCAGGCCTGCTGTTGAGGTCTCTCTGGGGCAGAGGCCCTCGGGGTGAATGAGGGCATTGGCCCTCCCTCACTGAGTTTGGCTCCTGCCCACAGGGCTGACAGTGGAAATCAGCCTGTGGGAGGCTGTAGCCCAGCACTGTGCAAATCTATTTTGGACCTCTGGGCCCCCCTTCCTCTCTAGGCTCCCCCTCCTACCCCTCCCCGTCTGCCCCGCTGGTGCTCAAACTGAGGCTGGGGCTCCGAGGGAGAGTGAGTAGGGGCTGGGAGACCTGGGGCAACCCCCTTGAGGAGGGGCTGGGGACCTTGTCTGGAGGCTGGCAGTCTTGGACTGAAGCCCACCTTCCTCCATCACTCCCAGAGGCCTGCCCAGGCAGCCGCAGCTCCAACCACAACATCCTTTGGGGTTTGGCCTAGGCAGTTGACCCCCAAATAGCCCTGGTAGATTCCCCCAAGACCCGCCCGCACCCTTGCCTCTGGGGCACAGCCCAGAGAGTATAAAACAGTGCTGGAGGCTGGGAGGGGCAGACCAGCTGAGTCCTGAGCAGCAGCCCTAGCACAGCCGCTGACAGACACACCATGAGACCCCTCATGTTCCTCGCCCTACTGGCCCTGGCCACACTCTGCCTCGCTGGCTGGTCAGGTGAGTGCCCCTACCCCTGCCCCAGCCCGCGGGAGCTGCGAGGGGAAAGCACCATGGCCTCACCTCTCCTCACCCCTTCCACTGGCAGTCCCTATTGGCAGTCTAACCACCTTTCTGTGGGCTCAGTCCATTTGCCCCCACTGCTGTCCTTGTGGAGGGAGAGGAGAGGAGAGGGGAGGAGAGGGAGAGCCCTAGGGATGAGCAGGGGTGAACTGGGCTCCTTTTTCTTGCAGATGCAAAGCCCAGAGATGATGAGTCTGGCAAAGGTGCAGGTATGAGGCAGGGCCTGATGGGAAGCTGTGCCCTGTATCACTCAATGGTGCTGCCCACTCCCAGCACCCCTGTCTCACCCTGGTCCCCTCAGTCCCATTCTCCCCTCCTGCCCCCTCCCATCTGGCTCTCAGGAAGGCCAGCCTACTCCCCACCTTGTCCACCCAAACTCGGAATCACCTGACCCCTGACCCTCTGCTCCACAGCCTTTGTGTCCAAGCAGGAGGGCAGCGAGGTGGTGAAGAGACTCAGGCGCTACCTGGATCATGGGCTGGGGTGAGAGAAAAGGAGGTGCTGGGCCAGGGCCCTGCATCTCCAGGATGGGCTGGGAGGAGCGGCCACTGTGGGAGGACTCTGGAGCCCCAAGTGCAGTGGGAGGAGGGGCGGGCATTTTGCATGGAGGCTGACGCCAGTGTGTTGGGCTCTCAGAGCCCCAGCCCCCTACCCAGATCCGCTGGAGCCCAGGAGGGAGGTGTGTGAGCTCAACCCCGCCTGTGACGAGCTGGCTGACCACATTGGCTTCCAGGAGGCCTATCGGCGCTTCTACGGCACAGCCTAGAGCTCTCAGCCCTGCCGGCCTGGCTGGCAGCCCCCAGCTCTGGCTCCTCTCCGGGACCCCTCCCCCTCCCCTCTCCCTGACCTCCCTGCCCGGCAAGTGTGAGATCCCAGCAGCTGGGAGCATCATCCCAGCTGCTCCAGAATAAACTCCGGAAGAGGAACTGGTGGGGCTGTGATTCTTTGTCCATCTATGGAGTGTGAGGAGGAGGTATTGGGAGGATGGGGAGTGGAGAGGTTTTATCTTTTTCAGTCCCAGAAAGTGCTTCCCAAAATCTGTTGTTGAGTTATTTATTTATCCCTGCCTCAGTCCAGAAGCATTGAAGGTGGCTTCCTAAAGTCTAAATAGGGTTCTCCTCTCTAGCCCAGCACCCTCCCCCACCTCAACCCACTGCCCCATCCGTGACACACCCAAATAGACCAGATCCCAAAGGCCTGGACGCCTGGAGTACACGGCTGTGACCAGGACAGACAGCCTCATCGCCATAGGCAAAGAGCTTCCGGTAGATGGTACTGCCTGGTTTGGGGGTGGGGGCAGTAGCGGGCCTCCTGGCCTGGTTAATAAGCATTCAGGATGGGCCTGGGTTAGTCATGTTAGTTCTTGCCTGGGCTGAGCAGAAACTCCAGGAGCACCAGAGATGGGACCAGATGAAAGGGCCCAACACCTCCCCATCCCAGCCTTCAATGGCAGGTGGGGCAGCTCCAGCCTGGACACACGCACCTCCCCTCTCAGACCCTCAGCACTTCCCCCAGCCCCATCAAGAGCACCCTCCCTGACCCTCCTACTCTCTACCAGCCTCCCAGCCCCTCTCCTCTCCTCTGCCTTCTGATCTCCGCACTCTCTCCTCAGCCACTCCTCTTGGTTCCAGGCTCAGAAGTGCCCCTGTCTTATCAGGCCTGGGTCTGGGCTCCTCCCCAGCACGGGGGCGGGGGCGGGGGGGGGCACCTGGCCTCTGCTTCCCTCCAGGGCAGGCTCAGAGCTGGGGCCTCACTGTAGTTTGGCCTTTGTATTCCTCTCCAGCGGGCCACCCTGCAACAGGGGGCACGTACTGGGAGCCTGAAATAGGGAAGCTGTGAAAGCAGCAATGATGAGCAGGTTCCCAGCCACTGCCAAGCCCAGTGTGGCCACTGTGCCCACCAGGCCCAGCGGCGGTTCCTGCATGGCCAGCCAGGCTCGGCGAGATCCCATATCAGCCAGCACCGCCTCCAGCTGGAAGTGTGTGCCCAGCACTGCACAGATGTGGAATAGCTGGTGGCTGTGGCCTGTGGGGAGGATGGGCGTGTGAGGGCACATACCCCATCCCCAGGGCTGCCCCAACTCATCCTGTGACCCATGGTGAGCACCACATCCTCTGGGCCTGCTACTCCCCTAAAACTGGGAATAAGAAACCCAATTCCCAGAGTTATTGGCAAGAGTGAGTGAGCTGCTGTGCACAGAGCCCCTGGCCTACAGGCTGCTGGTTTTGTTGTTATCTGAGGACTGGGGCTGGGCCTGGACCCTGAGGGCCCTGCCAGGAATACTCTCTTTACTCAGTTCACTCTGTGCTCTGGGGAGCTGTCTCCCCATCCCCTCCTGGGCCAGGCCAGGTCTGCTCTCACCGATGTAATCAAAGCGTCCTGGTGCCAGCCGCTCAGGCAGGTGGGAGGCAAAGAGGAAGCCAGTGAGCAACGCGCAGAAGAGGTGGTAGCCGTGGCTGGTGCTCAGTGCCTCCTGCCCACAGCTGTGGCCCCTGCCCCAGCACAGTCCGAGCTGGCAAAGGAAAAGCAGGGTTGACGGGGAGGGGCTTTGGGGGTGGACATCATGTGTCTGGGATCTGGTGAGGATGAGGAGGGGGAGGGCACAGCTGGACTGGGTGCTGGGCTAGGAGGGTGGGCAGCAGGGCTGAGTCAGGGATCGAGGGGGCAGGGCTGGGAGTGGGCACTGTGAGGGTCAGGACAGGAAAGCAGGAGCCTTACCCGATAGAAGAGCGGGAGGTTGTCGAACAGAAAGGGATAGGTGAAGGCAGCCGTGCGGAGGATCTTACTGAGCGCAGGGCTTTCTAGCTCTGGGAACCTGGGAGGCGGGAGTGAAAGGCTGGTCACCATCCTTATGCTGGGGTGGGGGTCAGAGGAGGGCAGGGGACCTTTGGCCAAGATGGAATGTCAGTGTAGCTTAGTGGCTATGAAAGCCCTTAGGCCACATGACTCCTCTGTGAGTGACAACAGCTGTTAGACGGGGATAGACACCTGCCTCTTAGGTGGCTTGTGAGAGTTAGAGACAGCGCAGGGATGGTGCTGGTGCACAGGGTCTGGGCACAGTAAGTCCTCAATAAACGGTCCCATTGTTACCAATGTTGTTCAAGAGCAGTGAAACGCAGGCACACCCCAGTGGTCCTGGGTGTCCAGGTGTTTGTGGGTGCTCTGTCGTGTCCCTCCGCCTTCCCCTTCACCACTGGCCGAGAACCCACCGGGAGTAGCAGGAGAGGCCGGTGCACAGGAAAGAATTGAGTGCGGCGGCGGGCACAAATAGCTGGTGCAGGCGGCTGTGCAGCCAGGAGGCCGGCATGGAGTAGGCGGCATAGGGGAAGGCGCAGCCTGGCGGGGGGGAGAGGGGGAGGGGAGCTGAGGCCCCGCCCCGGGGACCCCGCGCCACACCCCCGCCCCGCCCCGGAACGCCCCGCCCCCCTGCCCACCGCCCCAGCCTCCGCCGCGGGGCTCACCCAGGCTGTAGAGGCTGAGCGCGCCGTAGTCCAGGAAGTAGCAGATGTGACGCGCGCGGGGTGACATGGAGCTGAAGGTGTGCGCGCAGCACGACGCAAACGGGTAGAGGCAGGCGGGCAGCAGGAAGACGAGCAGCGGCCAGTGGTAGGGCTCCGACCGGAAGCCCTGGCCTCCCGCCAGCGCCAGGAGGCGCCACAGGAAGTACCTGCGGCAGGCACGTGCTCAGGCCACCGGACCCCCAGCGACTCCCAGTGCAGCCCGCGGGCCCGGACGGTCCCGGTCCGCCTGAGTACCCCCTTGAGCTCGAGGCCCAAGCCTGGGACAGAGCCTCCCTCACCAAGTGGGCAGGAAGTGAGTCCAGATGTTGACGGTCTCGTTGGTCATCTGGAAGGAGCTGAGGACACAGTCCAAGGCCGAGCTGGTGGGGCGGCGGTAGCCAGACATGATACCATCTTCCCAGAACACCTGGGGTTGTGGGGGGCAAGGGAGGAGAGGAGTCACTGTGTCCCACCCTTTTTCTCCAAGGGACTCCACTGTGTCCCACCCTTTCTCTGGAAGCAGGGTGGAAGGGAATGGGCTGGAGATCACAATGGCCCCAAAGTCAAACTAAATCCAACCCCATCTCACCACAGTTTCCAGTACCCAGAGAGCAGGTGAGAAACAGAAGAGGCAGAGTAAGGGGACAAGATAGGATGGACACAGGGTGCTCTGAGGAAGCCGACTCTGGATAAAAGAGTGTTCTGGGCTCTAGGGAGCAGGTCACAAGCCTGTTCCTTAGAGAGCAGAAGAGTCCCACACTGAAATGGCAGGGATAAGAGTTAGCCTAGAGCAGGGACTTCTGCACTTGCAAAAAGAGAAGAAACTTTGCCCCAGCCAGTCCCCTGAGAAGTAGGAGTTGGTGACTCCCTCACCCTGGGGACCTGGTGGACGCGAAGGAGTTGGGGCAGCTTGAGACTGAGCATGGTGGCCCGGCACCTCCACGTTGACCTAGAGACAAAGGGCGGGGGGGGGGGGAATTAGGTATCTGCCCCCATCCACAGGTCCCTTTTCGCCCAGGTCCAGGCTGAACCTGGTCACTGAGTCCCAGGGTAGGCTGTGTACCCGGGCATGCATGCGGGTGGTAGCTGGCCACCAAGCTGCTTCCTTCAGGCCAGGGGAGGCTGGCCCAGCTTCCCCAGTGGTCATAACCCCAACCCCTCCCCAGCCTAGCCTGGGGGCTATTTAGTTCCCGCATTGAGAGGGGCTGGTCAGCCTCGACTCAGCAAGGAGTGGAGGGTCCTCCTCAGCCAGAAGGCTGCCTCAGTAACCCTGGACCCTGGAGCCAGGTCCCCAACCCCCAGTTTTTGTCTCAGAAGAACCCTGACTTACGGAGGCCAGCACAGACAGCGCCTAAGCACACACCACCACCGCCATCGCCAGCACCAGAAAGCTCCTTGGCTCACAGTGCCTGGGCTGAGCACAGAAAACTTAGGGTGCTCAGGGAGAATTCTTGGAGAGGCCAGATGCCTACCGGTGGGACAAGGAATTAGGGGGATGCCTGGCTCTTCTCTGAAGACTACACGTGTGCCCCGGGGGGGGCATTTGGGGTCCCTGCCCCACCTGAGCCCCGGCCCCTCAGCCTCAGACCTGTGTGCTGCCTCCGGGTGGCCGCAGCTTTGCTGCCCCGCCCGCCCGCCTCCCAGGCTGCCTCTCCCAGGCACATTCCTTGGCACAAGTGGATGGGCTGGGCCACCAGGGCGGGTGGAGCTGCCCCAGGAGGAGGGAGAACAGGACACTCCTCCCACCTCTCCAGGCCAAAACTTTCCAGCCCCGCCCCGTGCCTCTTCCTGTCATCGCTTTGCCTACTCTCTGTGTGCATGTTTGCTCCGCACACACTCTGGGCCCTCACACCGCCAGCCTGAACCCCAAGCCTCTGTTCCTGTCTTTCAACATTTTGGGGGCCCTCTGCCCTTGAGCTGGGTGCTGGGGACCCCGCTGGGCACAAGGCCGACCTGGTCCCTAGTCCCTGCACCCTGGCTGAGATTTGATAGATGACCCCGGGAATTCCCTGGCGGTCCAGTGGTTAGGACTCTGTGCTTTCACTGCCGAGGGTCTGGGTTTGATCCCGGGTCGGGGAGCTAAGATCCCACTACCACAAGCCTCGGGGCGCAGCCAAAAAACAAAAAGAAACTAAGATAGATGACCCCTCCCGGAAGTGGGATGGGGGTATTCTGACCTATCCTGAGTGCGGCGGCCCAAGCTGCCTGGGGGAGGGGTGGACCAGGAAGATGCTGGCGTCTAGCTCCCCTCAGGGTCCCTTCCCTCAGCACTGGGGTTCAGAGGTCTCTGAAGTAGTTTGTGCTGGAGCCATGGAAATGGGGGAGGGGCCGGCCGGAGCAGGCGAGTGGCCTCTAGTTCCCCAGAACGGGCGTCTTGGCCCCAGGTGAGCTTCCTTACCCAGAGTTTGATGGGCGCTCCTAAGCCGGTGGGTCGGCAGGCCCCGGGCTCCACGGGTGGAGTCCCTGGCTCTTGCCAGCCGGGCCAATGGGAGGGAGAAGAGAGTGGCGGGCAGGCGGGCCAGGCCTGGGCGGGGAGTGGGAGACAAAGGGGAGCCAGAGAACAATCCCAGCCTTGTCCAGCCTCCAGAGAGCCGTGCGGGGTGGCCCAGCCCCATTAGCAGGCAGCTCACTCGGGCTCCAGCGCACAGCCAGCCCCTTCAGCTTGACCCCACCCCACTGAGAGCAGACTGGCCGGAAGAGGCCAGGGCCCTAGCCAGGATGCAGCCAGGGTGGTGCAGAGCGCCCCCCTCAGACCAGGCTGCCCCACGGCTCCAGGGTTCCAGGCTCTCCCAGGAGCTGAGAGTGGCTCTGCCTCAAGCTGGGCAGAGGAATCCAAACCCTGAATATGAATTCTCCAAAACCTCTTCTCACTGTGCTTCGCTGCCTCTCAGCGCCTGGTGCTGGGCAGAATCCAGAGCAAATGCATTTGGTAAATGTTGGTTCAACCTCGAGGGGTTCACCAAGCTTCTCCACTCCCCAGACACACTTGAGGTGTCAGTGCTTGCGGAGGGATGGGGTTGAACACTCAGAGGCTGGTTTCAAGGTTCACCCTCACCTCTCCACTGAGGAAGTTTCTCCCTGATTCAGAGGACCCAGCTGAAAACCGCAAACCACCCCCAGGGAGCAACGTAGCCTTCAAAATAGTTGACCCTTGAACATAGGTTTGAACTGCGTTTATATGCAGCTTTCTTTCACTAAATATGTACTCAGTACTACACGGTCCCCAGTGGGTTGAATCATGGATGTGGAACTGCAGATACAGAGGGCGGACTGTAAAATCAAGTGCAGATTTGTGCTTGCATAGGGGTCAGCGCCCTAAAACCGCATATTCTTCAGGATCATCTGTATATTGTTTTCACCTATCACCCTTGTGAAGGCAGCAGCTCAGTTCAATGAACTTCACATCTATCAAAACCGTCTCTGGAGTTTGTGCTCCAGCTGCTGGTTACTTGCTTCAACTGGGCCACCTCAAAGAAACCTTTCCAAACTGCCATTTCAGTATGTAATCTCCAATGTCCCAATAAAACTGTACAGAAAGGCACCAGGAGACAAGGAGTGGGCTTCTGGGGGTCTTTATTAAGTGATGCTTTAGTCTCAGCCTCTGCCAGGGACTGGAAGTGGGGGTGATCCCACTCCCCCCAGGTTGTCCCAGACTTGCTGTCTTAGAGGAAGGAGGCAGGCAGCCAGTTCTCCTCCGAGAACAGTCTGGGAAGCTAGGCTAGTGCTCTGGGGTGGGGAACAGCAGAGCTGAGATCCCCGACCCTCAACCCCCAGCCCGAGCTGTATGTGCAGCCCGAGCGGGAGGGGCCGAGGCAATCCTGGCCAAAGCCTCCCACACTCAGCCCCACTCTTGCTGCTCCACTCACTGCCCTGAGCTATTCGTGATCTCTGCTCTCACATTCACCTCAACACTCCAGAAGCTAGCCCCATGCTCAGCTCCTCCAGGCCTTTAGTCCCGGGGAAGGACAAAAGCAGGGAAGCCCATCAGGGCAGAGGGTCCCTGGCCGGGCAGCTTCAAGAGCCTCTCCTTTCTGCTGTCCATCCGAACACAGGCCCCTCCCTAGATAGTAAGGGGGGTTGTGGCCTCAAACTTCACCCCTCTCTCCTCTTACTGGCATCCCACTCTGTCCCAGCACAGCAGCCCAGAGCACAAAGCGCAGTGACCATGGGGCTGGCGGGCACAGAAGCCCTCATTGGCATATAGGCCAGACTGCCTGCAGCCGTCGTGGGCCTGCTCCCTGCCCTGGAAGCTAGACGAAGGGAGACAGAAAACAGAAGTGGGGCAATGGGTGTGCATCCCCTGCAGCAGGAGGAGGGGATCTAAGCCCTGCCCTGCTACTGGCGCAGGCAGCTCCAGGCCCCTCTTCCTTAAGAGTCCCCAAGGCTCCAGAGCTGCCCAGCCCCTGCAAAGGGAGATGAGAGGGGGATGGGTGGTCCTCAAGGAGAGGAAGGGTCTGCAGAGAACCACCCAGACACCTGGTGTTACCCAACTCTACCCCCAGGCCCAGAGGGCCCAAACTCCTGGCACCAACCACCCTGCGTCTTGGGTGAGGAAGAAGGGCCCCTTCTGCTGTCCCTTCCCCTCAGAGGTCCAGGAACCACTCCAACGAAACGCAGACACCCGTGCCTGCCACCTGCCCCTGGGGAAAGCAGGGGGGCTGAGGCAGGAAGGCTGGCTAGGGGCCAACAGGCCTCTCCTGCTCCAAGCACTTTCCTTGCTTTCCTGACGTCGTCTTGGCAACAGGGGGACCCCGCCCTCCCAGCTGGCTCCTGGGCCCTCCCTGCAGCCTGTGTGCAGCTGGGCTTCCTTCCTGTGTGCGTGCGTGAGTCTGCGTGTGGTGGGGTGACTACAGGTGGTGGTCCTGGCTGCCAGGGAGGGCAGGAGAGATCTGGAGTCAGCCCCGCTGCAGGGCCTGGGAGTCGGTCTCAACCAATCTCCTTCCACTGCTTGTAGAAGTCCAGAACATTCTTGATGTCCACACTGGCATGTGCAGCGGCCTGCAAGGCTGCCTGTAGAATTGGGGGGAGGACAAATGGAGGAGGGTCTGACCTCCCAAACTCTGGGACAAGTCGTTGAGGGGCTGGGGAAGGGGTGATGGAAGAGGAAAAGGGCAGCTGTCTGGTCTGAGGGAGTCGACACCGGTACCTCCTCCCCATTCCACACTCTGCCAAACATCACCCCATGACCCACCTGCATAGGGCCTGAGAGCGTGCTGGGGTTGTCCAGCGGAAGGCCTGTGATGATGGTCACCATGCCACTCGGGTCCTCCTCACCTGCCCCCTGGGCCAGAGTCAGCTGTTTGCAGCTGTCCAGGATCTTATAGAGCGTCCTGGTGGGAGCAGGGGGAAGGCGGGCCAAGCCCCAGCATTAGCACAGCCTGAACACCAGATCTCCAGGGCACAGGGGAAGCTGGGGGTGGGGAGGGCACCAGGAGAGAGCGAGAGAAACCAGGCAGCCCAGAGGAGAGGGTCCTGGAAGCTGGCCCCAGAGGACATGCTACAGGGACTGGGCAAAGGTTCAATGAGTGAGGAAGCTGAGCCCAAGGATCTCAGGGCCACGGGGGCTCAGATGCTGGAGCAACTTCTCACTCCATCTAAGGTGAGACCTGCAGGAGGCCTCCGGCAGAATAAGCCTGGCCCCGCGCTGGTCCTGCTGCCTGTTACGGAATTCTCCAGCCCCGTCCCTCTGTCCTGGGGAGTGCCCAGAGGAGCAAGGTAGGCAGCCTATCTGAGGTTCTAGGGGTGGGGGCTGAAATTTTACCAGGCATCTGCATCCTGCCTCTTCAGCTTATGCCGCTCAAAGCTCTTCCCCACCTCTTTCTGGCAGCGAATGTACCTGCAAAGGAGACGAGAGAGTGAAGGTTGGGGGCAGGGGAGAGGGAGGGCACCTCATACAAAGCAGGCCATTGTGGCGCAGGGGACCCAGTTTTATCGGGGGGGGCACGTCTCCCACATCACAGGTCTGTTTGGAGTCATTCTGAAGTGGCTTCCTAGCTGCTGAGCCCAGCTTGCTTTTCCTCCTGATAACATCAATTCTTTGGTTCCTCCCTGGGGAGGAGCTGGGAGGGGAGAAGCAGCAGGTGCTTTTCAAGTCAGTGCTTCTGGAGACAAGGTCCAAACAAGCAGGCTTTGTGCAGCTTTCTGACCAGGCAAGGGCAAATGCAGAGGAGGGGTGGGCCAGCCAGCAGAGAGCAGGGAGCTTTCTCCCTCTTCCCTACACCCAGTGTCTAGTCCTTTTCTGGCCCCAAAGGCCAGAAGGAAGGGCCTGTGCTGGGCTGAGCACCTATACACTGCCATCTGTCCCCTCAGCCCCATGGGAAGCCCCTGGGCAGCCCCGATGAAGGCACTCCCACCTTGGTCAACCTGATCACCTAAAGCAGGAGAACCTCCTGCAAAGGAGTCCATAGGTTGGAGGTGGGGGCTTGTTCCCCTCTCCCCGGTCACAGTGATCTCATGTTTGCCCCAGAGGTAGATGGACAGCAGGTCACTGTTCCCCAACAGGGCTCCTAGCTCCTCCAATCGCTGTCTATTTCAGCACCTAAGACCCTGACTTCTAATTATGTCTTCGGCTTCCCTCCCCAGGCAGTGAGCCAACTGTGACCAGGGGCCACGTGTCTTACACGAGGAACACACGCATTTGTTGTCTGTGCTCAGCAGAGGTCCAGCCAGGCCTGCACTCACCTGTTCCCTTTTTTAAACTCTGCCTCCAGGTATCGGATCCCATCCCGGGCCCCGGGGTGTTCCTTCTTCAGCAAATCCAGGCCATCGATCACTGGCGGGCAAGATGGGGGGTGGGGGAACGACAAAACAGATGAGCTCAGGCTGTCGTGACATGGGGCTCTGCAGAAGCATCTGCACTCACTCCAGGACACACTGCAGGAAAAGGGGCCGTAGCTCCTACAGGAATCCTGAAGTTCTTTCAAAGACTGACCTTCTGCCAACAATGTATGTTGGCAACTTACCAACTGCTTTCACTTAGATTTTCTCATCTGTTTCTCCCAACCATCTTGTGAGTCAGGGTTTAACAGGGGTTGTCATGCCCACTTCGCAGATGAAATGACTGAAGTTCAGAGAGGCGGCAGGACTTGACCAAGGCCACTGTGTGTAAACTGGGCCCCAAGTAAGGGTCTCTCAATCCCAAGCCAGATTCTCTTTTAGCCACACTCTCTGCTCCCACCTCTCCAATATACTCACCTGTCCTTGGGATGATGACAATGAAGCGGCCACTGGTGGCCAGCTGGCGGATGACAGGGAGGTGGTGGCAAAGGGCTTGGGTGTCGGGGACGAGGTAGGGAGACATTGCTGACTGGGCCTTGGGCTGCTGCAGGCTCCCTTCCAGCTGAGAGACCTCGAGCTGTTGAGAGAAGGCAGAGTGGGTGGAGCTGCGTGCAGCCTGGGCAGGGGAAGAATGGTACTCAAGGTGGCTCTTATGGGGCTCCTCCTGCTGCCAATGGGAACAAGGGACCCCTTCGACGAATGGCCTCATAGGAAAAGTAGACAGAAACAAGTGGTAAAGGAAAGAGGAAGAGAAAGAGAAGGAAAAGAGACAGAAGTGAAGGCAGAAGGGACTACAAAAGCTCAGTGACAAGTCAGCAGTTGGAAGGCAGTCTAGGAGGCTGGGAGGGTAGCCAGGGCAAGGTAGAGAGCCACAGCGGGCAGAACAGGGGCTGAAGCTGGAGGGCTGAGGACGTGCCAGGGGGCTTCAGGCAATAACCAGATCAAGACCAGAAGGAGCGCGGGGCCCCAACTTCTTACCTGAAGTCGTAGCTGGGCCATGTCTCTCATTAGCCTGTTCCGCCGAGCTTCCTCCTGTGCCTACAAGGGGAAAATACCAGGTGCTAAGCTTGGGACAAGAAGCTGGGGGAATGAATATTCCTTTCTCCAGTGATCAAGAAGACCAAAAGGGATTCCTGGGGTCTGAAATAGGTACGGCCTCATATAAAGTCAGCTCTCTATCACTCCTGATAAGTGAGGGGAAGGGAGGTGTGGGAGAAAAAATATCCCTCCTGTGTAATCTGAACACACTTCATTAGCAGCCCACAGAAGCTCACGCCTCCCAGGGAGAGAGGGAGGGGATGGCACCTGTCTGTGTCTCAGGGTTCCACCTCTGCTCCTCTCAATCTGTCCTCCCTCCCAGGGGATACCATCCATGCACCCCTTCACTTTCTATCATCATCCACTTGCCAACTTCTTCCAAAAGCTGCAGCTTCAGCCCAGACCTGACCACTCCTGAGTTCCAGACGTACATACCCAAATGCCTACTTGACAGCCCAACCTGTTTCTCAGAACCTGCTTCTCATCCTCTAGTGTACCCCAGCTTGCTAAGTAAACCACCATCTGCCAAGCCAGAAAGCTTAGCTAGCTTTGACTTTTCCCTCTCTTTCAGCCCCAGAAGCTATCAGCCTCCCAGTCCTGTCAACTGTACCTCCTAAAAAATCATT